CCCAAGGGCATTCCCAAAAGGGCCCCAAGAAGCCAAAATCATTGATTTCCCTTTGGTTTTTTTTAGCTCATGGCAGCGTTTCTGCTTGTTCAGCTTCCCGACGCCCCACGCCGGTGCCAGACACCCACATATCGCCCCAACAGGCCCCCACGAAGGCGCCGAGACGGCCAAGGGACGCCCCCAGACGGCGCAACAAACCCCAACACAGCTGACAAGGGCCGTTTTCTGCTCGTGCAGCTTCCCGACGCTCCGACACGGCCCCCGACACCCAAATGTCGCCCCAACAGGCCCCCACGAGGGCGCCGAGACGGCCCAGGCACGCCCCCAGACGGGAACCGGGGGAGTTCGTCCCTGGACTGGGGAGGGGTCCGTCCACGAACAAGGGGAGTCTGTGGAGGGACGGCAGGGGGGAGTCCGTACACGGAACGGAGGGTTTCTCCAGGGGCCGGCGGCCGGTTCGGGTGCGGGATTCTTGGGGACTGCGTATTAGCAAAATCTGGACGCCGCGTGGCTGGGAGCAGGGCGTGGCGATTTCTTCGCGCACCGCGCGATATCCCGCGGTTTGTTTCGGGGCCCGGGACCATCACAGATCGATCCGGCTCGGGCGACGCAGCGGAACGATGGGGTCTGCGGCCTCGGTCATGCAGTTGCCGCGCCGTTGCACGTTTGTCGGTGACGTCGGACCTCAGGGTCTGGACGCCCTTTCATGGGCCAAGTGACGGTTCAAGCACTATTCGGGATGAGACGCCGATCCTGGCCATCGTTCGGACGTCCATTCCCTGTGCTTTTTTCGGTTTCGTGCGTGGTTTTTTCGCCAAAAGATCAAGGATGTTCCTAGATTGTCCTCGCCGAAGGAAAAATGCACACGTCCGAGCGATGCCAAGGATCCCCAGGACGCCGAGACGGGGTTCAGACCTCTGGGAGGCCACGCTGGGAGAAAGCACGGCGTGGGTGCGGCAGTGGCGCGTGGCTTCGTGTCGTGCCTGCGCGGCCGCCACCCCGCCGCGGGCGCTCGAGGTTGAGCGCTGCCGGGTGCCTGGAGTCGGCCGCTGTAGAACGGCTTGTCGTTCTCGCTTGGCATCGCTCGGACGTGTGCATTTTTTTCTTCGGCGAGAACCATCGAGGAGCATCCTTGACGATTTGGCGAAAAACCCACGCACGAAACCAAAAAAAGCACAGGGAATGGACGTCCGAGCGATGGCGAGGTTCTCGAGGTTGAACGACCCGCACGGTGTCAGGAGCCAGCGCCGGGGTCGTCACGACCCGGGCCTGGCGTCAAGCAGGGGCGTTGGGCGTTGCGTAATGGGGGGGTCATAAATGGGGGGGTGGCGAGGGTGGTCCGAAAAGGTACCCAAACGGTGCCTAAACGAGCCCCCTGGGGCTCCAGAGGGGCCCGAAAGGGGCACGAAAGGGGACCGTTTCTGACCCCCCCATTTATGACCCCCCCACTAAGCCACGCCCAACGGGCGCTCAAAGGTACGGTTGGCAACTGTGGCATGGCGTGTCGCTCCGGCGGTTCTGGCCCGCTTCCGCGCCATACGCCACGCACGTCCGCCCCCGCGGAGCGGAGCGCCACGCGTCGACCACGAGCCAACGCCTCCCAGAGGGGGTCCGAGTGGATGGGTCGGAGGAACGCGCCGCATCGCCGATGCATCGACAGTGCGGCTCTCTGTGAGCCCAATCTTCGCCATGCGCGCGTCGCCGACGCCTCGTCGATGCACGTCGCCGCTGCTTCGGCGATGCGGTGCACCCCTCCGACCCCACCTGCTCAGAGCGCCGCAACCCAAGGACTGACACGGGCCAGGAAACCCAAGGAGCGACACGGGCCAGGGACCCCGCACTGCATGGCAAGGGGCCTTCCTGCGGGCTCCGCCGACCCCGGAAGGGAGACCTGTGGGGCCCTCTGGACGGCCGCGCGGGAGGGCCGCGGAGCGCGCGTGCAGGCGCCGGCCGACGGGTGTATCTCCCAGAGCGGCGCGAGGAGCGCCTGGAGACTTCGGGAGCCTTGAGACGGAATGGGCCAACGGAAGGAGGAGGAGGAGGAGGAGGAGGAGGAGGAGGAGGAGGAGCAGGAGGATATGTTGCAGGCCCAAAAGGCAGAACAAAACCGTGGCGCTCAGCAAAGCGCGGGCCAACGTGCCCTGGCCAACGGCCAACGTGGCCAACGGCCAAAACCAAGGGCACACGCGCAAAAAGAGGGAATCACGGACACAAGCTGGGACCTGACCTCCGGCCTCCTTTCCTTGACTAACTCCCAATAGCGCCAGAAACGCTGTGCCTTAGGGAGGAAATCAAGGAAAAGAAAGCAGACCAAGGACCGCCCTACACCCCTCGCCAAAATGGCGCACGGGGGTTCGGGATCGGCGCCCAAGGGACAATACACGGAGCGTTGCCCAGCGCCCGCACCCTCACAAGCACGGCAACAGTGTGCCCGCGGCAAAGAGCACTGCAACCAAGAGGTTACAGGCGGAAAAGCCGCGGGCCCCGCCTCCGTGGTCGTCAAACGGCGGTACACCTCAGACCAGGAGGTGCCACTGGGGTCTTCCCGCGCCCAGGCCGCACCTTTTGGCCGAGGTGGCAGGGTACTAAAAACCCTGGCCTGACAGCTGCAACGGCAACAGCAGCGGCAGCAGGGAGGGGGAGGGGGAGGGGGCCACTCTCCGGCCCAGGAGCGCAAACAACGTCCACCCTGGAACCTAATCCAGGGCCGTGCCGCAACTCCCAAAGAGGAAAAGGGCGACAGACACGACGACGAAACGAGACACGAAGGACGACAACGAACGACCACGAACCTCCCAGCGGGAAGTGCCGCCCTCCGCCCTATCCTTATCGCACCCGGAACGCGGGCGGGATAAGGATCTGGCATCATCGGACCCACACCGCATACAGGCGGTGCCACACGGCGCCCAGGCTGCACCGCTTATCCGCGGTGGCGAGGCATTTGAAAATTGCCTCGGCCTGACGGCGAGGAGCAGGAGGAGGAGGAGGAGGAGGAGGAGGAGCAGGAGGAGGAGGAGGAGGAGGTTTTTTCACGAGGTCGGGCCCCTGGACCTCTCAGCCCGTCCCGGTGGCGATTCGCTCTTTCACCCCGAGCCGGCCGTATTTGGAAGGTCCAGGGTCGGGAGCCTTGCGCGCCTCCAGGCTTGCTTCGTGGACTTCCACGCCTTCCTTTCTTATCGGCCTACGAGATCTCTAAAAAAAACCATAAAAAAGGGTCGGGAGCCTTGAGACGGGGGTCAATGCCAACGGGGGTCCGCCAGGGCGCCAGATCCTGCAGGATCCTGCGAAGACCCCCTCTGGCGGGCCCGGGTCGAGCGAGCCGCTCGTGGCCGCGGGGCGGCCGCGCACATGATTGGCTGACCCGGGTCTGCGAAGGTCTGCGTGGCAGTTTTTTTTTGTGTTCCTGCGTTGCAGTTGTTGGTGTCCTGCTGACCCGGGTGCGGATGGACCCGGGTCGGAAGATCCCCGGAGGCCTGGCTGGAGAGGGGAGGCCGGCCTCCTGAGGAGGCGGGGGAGGGGGAGCTTCCCAGCAACTCCCCCACACCTTCTGCGGAGCCGCCCGTGTCTTGGATCAGGTCTGGGCTTACACCGCCGTGAGACAGGTTAGTTTCACCTTCCTGAGGCACTCTGATGGTGATGCTTAGGAGGAGGAGGGGGAGGGAGAGGGCGCGGAGGAGGGAGATGACCAGTAGGACATGGAGGAGGATCAGGAGGGGTGTCAGAAAAGTTGCCACAGGGATACCTGGCTTGTGGCAGCAACGCGTTCGTAGTGACGTTGTTTTTTGTTCGTATCCTTCGATGTCGGTTCCTGCCATCAGTGAGACGCAGAAGCCCCAAAGTGTCTGATTGTTCGCCCGAGAATGGGGAACGTGATCTGGGCTTACACCGTCGTGAGACAGGTTAGTTTCACCTTCCTGAGGCCCTCTGATGGTGATGCTTCGGAGGAGGGGAAGGAAGAGGAGGAGGAGGAGGAGGAGGAGGAGGAGGAGGACGAGGAGGAGGATCAGGAGGGGTGTCAGAGAAGTTACCACAGGGCTAAGTGGCTTGTGGCAGCCACGCGTTCGTAGCGACGTTGCTTTATCATCCTTCGATGCCGGCTCTTCCTATGGACCCCGCTCCCAGCCACGGGTGGGGAAGGGATCATCGTCTCTGGATGCTACCCTGGACGACGGACCCAGAATTCCCCCTCACGCGCGCCGACAGGGTCGGCGGATTTCCAGATGGTTCTGCCATACCCACCCTCTTGCGGAGGGCTCTGCTATCACCCACCCTCTTGCGGAGGGCCCTGCTATCACAAGCGCCGGAAAGTGTATAGGCTTCGCGCGTATGTGAGCTTCCTGTCTGAGATCCCTGAGACACCCCTGGGGTAGCCTTGCCGACTAAAAAATGGTTCTGGCAGATGCTTAGGGCCCAAGGCCGCTTCGCGCCGGCTTCGGCTATTGCGTCCATTGCGTTGACCCGAACGGCCATGAGCTAGTTGTGCAGCCACTGTTTGTGCGGCTTGCTGGGAGTCCTGCCCCAATTGCTGGTCCCATCTCCTCCGTCCCGCGTGTACTTCGCAGGATGCTGACTATGCAATCGTCCACATGCTCGATGGCTCCAGTTGTTCTCACAGGTCTCCTCCTCCAGTGGGCGATGGTGCACATGGCCTCGCGCCCTTGGGGCCGTGCTCATGACGTGCGCGGGGGTGTCTTTTGAGATGCGCCTGCTCCTGCTTGCTCCAGCGCTTCCTCCTCCGCGAGTGCTGCTCGTTTGCTGCCGCAACGCCAGGTCCGCACAGCGGCACCCATCTGTCCAACATATCCCCTCGTTGCTCCTGTTTTGGAACGAGCAGGCCGCATTCAACAGTGTCTGGGGCAACCCACTACTCGCACAAGCGAAGTCAGTCAAACTGATCTGTCCCGCGGGTAACTGCGACATCGTCGTTCATGCGGGGATTCATTGGGGGGCCTCGACTTAGCTGAGCTTGCGGCCGCGCGGGCGCCCCCGCGCTGGGAGAGGCTCGTGCAATCAGCAGGAGTTCAAAGCCTTCCTCGGCCAGCCGGAGATGGTGAAGGAGATGACGAACCTAGGCGTGGAAGGGCGGATGACCTGGGAGGGTGAGGGGGTTGTGGAGTGCACGTGAAAGAGAAGCGGGAGGAGAAGGAGGAGGTGGCAGAGGAGGAAAATTAGGAGAGGAAGCGGAGGATGAGGAGGATGAGGAGGAGTAGGAAGGGGGGGAGGCGAGGGGATCATTGCAAGACGGAAGAGGAAGAACGGGTATTGAATGAAGAGGAGGAGGAGGAGGAGGAGGAGGATAAGAAAGGGGAGGACTAGATGGGAGGAGTAGGAGGAGGAAAGAGCAAGAGTGGCATGAAGAGGGGGAAGAATTGGGGGAGGAGGAGGAGGAGGAGAGGAGGAGGAGGGTCGTGCAGCCAGCAGGAGCACAGCGCCCTTGTTCGTCGGCCAGGGATAGTCGGTGAGTTCACAGGCCAGGGCGTGCAGGAGTCCCCCCCTTCTCCCTCTCCTCCTCCTCCTCCTCCTCCTCCTCCTCCTCCTCCTCCTCCTCCTCCTCCTCCTCCTCCTCCTCTCCTCCTCCCTCCTCCTCCTCCTCCTCCTCCTCCTCCTCCTCCTCCTCCCCTCCTACTCCTCTTTCTCCTCCTCCCCCTCCTCCTCCCCCTCCCCCTCCTCCTCCTCCTTCTCCTCCTCCCCCTCCTCCTCCTCCTCCTCCTCCTCCTCCTCCTCCTCCTCCTCCTCCTCCTCCCTGGGTGCAGGGTGGGGGTGGATGATATGGAGGAGAGGGGGAAGAGGGAAGGGGACGGGGGAGCGGGGGAGGGTTGAGATGGAGAGCGAAGAGGAGAGAGAGGAAGGGGGGGGGTGGAAGAATGCGTCGGAGGAGCCGGTGGAGGAGGAGGAGGAGCAGCAGCAGGAGGAAGCGGACGAGGATAATGATGAGGGGGGAGGGGAGCAGGAGGAGGAGAATGACGACCAGGGCGCCTGTCGTAAGACGGAACGGCCCTCACCGTCACGGCGTTGAGGAAGAAGAGGAGGAGGAGGAGGAGGAGAAGGAGGAGGAGGAGGAGAAGGAAAATGAGGAGGAGGAACATGAGGAGGAGGCGGAAGAAGGGGATGAAGGTGGTGGTGGTGGTGGTGGTGATGTGATGTGATGTGATGGTAATGATCGTGGTCATGACGATGAGGATAAGGAGGAGAGGGAGGGGAGCCCTCGGCTACGACGGCGGGTGGCCGCCGCGTGGCAGCCAGGCGTGGACACCACCGCATTCGAGGATTTCACAGCCTTCATTTACGAGTTCGTGACGGAGGACATTCGCGGCCACGGGAAGAGAGGAAAGAGGATCTGGACAAGCTAGGCGCGCTGGCGCGACATCTGACGTCCTACCCCTCCCTCCCATCGTTGTCCATTGCAATGGATCCCTCACTATTCGAAGATTCCGGCGTCGGGAAAGACCTTGATCCCGAATGGGCAACCGAATCGAAAATGACCTTGAACCACTGGTTGTCAAAAGCTAGGAGCGCATGAAGGAGGCGGACGTCAAACATGAGCAGAGTAAGCCATATCCGCGCGCATCCAACCGTGGTGCCACACGCTCGAGAGACACGAGAAGACGTCACAAGCAGGAGTCGATCCGGAGATAAGATACACATGCCGGTTCAGGAATGCGACCAGCGCTGGGACGAGGGCGAAAGCAGGTTGGACGTGATTGACGGGGAAACCAAAAGGTACCAATACCGCTACTCCCCCGACCTCTCCCGGGGTGCGTTCTGACCAGAATTTCGAGGCGAATCCAGCGGTGGCGACGAGGGCCTCCCAGGAGGCCCAAAAAGGAGAAAACGGGCTAGGGGGTAGAGGTATGGGTACCTTCTCCTCCTCCTCCGAATTGACAGACACATACGAACGCACACCGTTACACAAACGTGCAAACGGCACGCCAGAGCCATCCTGGGGTGACGCAAGCCGGAGGTGGATTCCTGGGTGTTGCCAGCGCCACGGCGAGAGTGCCGTTCTTCAGGAGGGGGAAAAACACACAGACACAATTCATCGTCGATCCCCAAGAAAATATTGCAAAATATGGGAAGCGGGGGGGAAGACGAAAACCCAGCAAATACATATAGGAAGATATGAGGAATCTTGTTAGTAGTGTCTATTTGCATGCGTGTCCTTGGGCCCCTTCAGTTCTGTTTGTTGGACGTAAACCAGCTGGAAATTCTTAGATGCGGCACGCGCTTCAGCGGGATCACCCCTTTGTCAGATGCAGGACTGCAGCTAAGTCGGGCGTGTCCCTCTGCGGGAGGAATCTTCAAACAAAATAGTCGGAAAACACCCTGGAGACGATGTTTTGACTATTTTGGGGTATTTTGGAACCTTTTGGTTTATTTTTTTGTTGTCCAAAATCCGCCTGCAGGGGGACAGGCCCGACTCAAGACTACGGCTAGCGATGCGGCGAGAGCCTCGTTCCGTTGGGCGGAGGCCCTACGGAGACCACTGCACACGGCACACCCTGCAGCGGGAACGCCACGATCGTTGGTGCATTGGTACGGCCCCCCGCTGCGACGCGAGGATCGCTCCCTTGGACGGAAGGTCGAGTGAGATTCATACGTGTGGCAGGCCTTACAGCAGGAGGACATCCTTCGTTGATGCGCGAGTGCGCCCAGCGCTGCGGCGAGAGCGTCGTTCCGTTGGACGGAGCCTTTCTGTATCATTGAACGTGGCAAGCGCTGCAGCGGAAGTGCCATGTTTGAAAGTCCGAAAGCGTTATGGAATGCCAAGTTTGGGCAATCTTGTGTGGAAAAATACGGCTAGAACGGAGTATATTTCGTAGTGTGTAGTAGTGGACGAGGGGGGGAGAAGAAGAAGACAGGGAGGAGGAGGAGGAGGAGGAGGAGGAGGAGGAGGAGGAAGAACAGGACAAAGGAAGGGGCAGAAGAGCAGCAGGGCGAGGTCTTGACCCCTCACGGTGCGCGAGACGAGCTCCTGGCATTCCATGCTGGCTGGGCTCCTCACGGGAACCACGATGCCGGCTGGGCTCCTGACTTCGCGGGTGCGGCAGGACGTGCGAGGCGCCGCCGCTGCCATCCCGAGCAGCATTGGCCGCCTGGCCACGATGTGCTCCCTGGCTCCGCCGACGCTCCTGTGCTGGAGGTGTGCCCCCAGAGGCTACAGGACAGTGTTTAATACATGCTCCGCGTGCGGATCATGCATTGAAAATGCAGGGATTTCGCATCGAAAACAACGATGAGCTCATGCACACATTTGTTCATACATGAATCATGTCTTAAAAAATCCTACATGTTTAAAAATCCGGTGTATCAAAAACTGCCCTGTACCACCGAGCGGTCGTCTGCCGACGACCTTTTTGGCCTCGGCCGGTGCCCCCCTCCCCGAGGAGCCGCCGCCGCCGCCGCCGCCCAGGGGGCCCCCTCGCCTGCCCGCCGAAGGATCTTCGAAAGTTCTTTAATTTGTTTCGAAAGTTCTTCGATTTGTTTCGAAAGTTTTTTTGAGGCCCAGAAGGATATTCGAAAGTTCTTTGATTTGTTTCGAAAGTTGTTCGATGCTTCGAACGTTTTTTGGAGGCCCAGAAGGATCTTCGAAAGTTCTTTGATGTGTCTCGAAAGTTGTTCGATTTGTTCGAGAGTTTTTTTTGAGGCCCAGAAGGATCTTCGAAAGTTCTTTGATTTGTTTCAGAAGTTGTTCGATGTTTCGAAAGTTTTTTTGAGGCCCGGAAGGATCTTCGAAAGTTCTCTGATGTGTTTCAAAAGTTGTTCGATGTATTCGAAAGTTTTTGTTGAGGCCCAGAAGGATCTTCGACAGTTTTTTGATTTGTTTCGAAAGTTGTTCGATGCTTCGAAAGTTCTTTTGATGCCCAAAAGGAGATTCGAAAGTTCTTTGGCTTGTTTCGAAAGTTGTTCGATGTTTCGAAAGTTTTTTTGAGGCACAGAAGGATATTCGAAAGTTCTTTGAGTTGTTTCGAAAGTTGTTCGATGTTTCGAAAGTTTTTGTTGAGGCCCGGAAGGATCTTCGAAAGTTCTTTGATGTGTTTCGAAAGTGGTTCGATGTTTCGAAAGTTTTTCTGAGGCCCAGAAGGATCTTCGAAAGTTCTTTGAGTTGTTTCGAAAGTTGTTCGATGTTTCGAAAGTTTTCTTTGAGGCCCAGAAGGATCTTCGAAAGTTCGTTGATTTGTTTCAACAGTTGTTCGATGTTTCGAAAGTTTTTGTTGAGGCCCTGAAGGGTCTTCGAAAGCTCTCTGAATTGTTTCGAAAGTTGTTCGATGTTTCGAAAGTTTTCTTTCAGGCCCAGAAGGATCTTCGAAAGTTCTTTGATGTGTTTCGAAAGTTGTTCGATGCTTCGAAATTTGGTTGAGGCCCTGAAGGATTTTCGAAAGTTCTTTGATTTGTTTCGAAAGTTGTTCGATGCTTCGAAAGTTTTTTGAGGCCCAGAAGGATCTTCGAAAGTTCTTTGATTTGTTTCGAAAGTTGTTCGATGTGTTCGAAAGTTTTTTGGAGGCCCAGAAGGATCTTCGACAGTTCTTTGATTTGTTTCGAAAGTTGTTCGATGTTTCGAAAGTTCTTTTGATGCCCAGAAGGATATTCGAAAGTTCTTTGACTTGTTTCGAAAGTTGTTCCATGTTTCGAAAGTTTTTTGTTGAGGCCCAGAAGGATCTTCGAAAGCTCTTTGATTTGTTTCGAAAGTTGTTCGATGTTTCGAAAGTTTTCTTTGAGGCCCAGAAGGATCTTCGAAAGTTCTTTGAGTTGTTTCGAAAGTTGTTCGATGTTTCGAAAGTTTTTGTTGAGGCCCAGAAGGATCTTCGAAAGTTCTTTGATTTGTTTCGAAAGTTGCTCGATGCTTCGAAATTTGGTTGAGGCCCAGAAGGATATTCGAAAGTTCTTTGATTTTTGTTCGAAAGTTGTTCGACGTTTCGAAAGTTTGTTTGAGGCCCAGAAGGATCTTCGAAAGTTCTTTGATGTTTTCCAGAAGTTCTTCGATTTGTTTCGAAAGCTTCTCGATTTTTCGAAAGTTCTGTGTTCATGTCTAATTCTCCGAGAGTTTTTTATTTTTTCGGGGGGCCAGGATCCTCTCATTTCCAACTGTTCTATCCCAGGCCTCTTCCCGGCCACTGGGGGGCCAGGAACAATCAGAGCGAGCACAACCAGAAGTGCGCACGATCAGAAGTGAACGCCGCGCACGCGAGCCTCGTGCGGCGGCGCACGTGCGCAAGGCTGCCAAGCTGCCAGCCGCCCGGGCTGCCTGGCACTCGGAGGCGGCCCCTCGAAATTAGGGGCCCACATGCGAACCCTACCCCTACCCCCCACGATTTTGAGGGGGGGGGTGGGGTTCACTTCGCTCGGGACCCCTCGAATGGCCCAGGGCCCCTTGCCTCCACTTCTGGTGCCACGGGGGTAGCTCGTGGCGCCATCGTGTGTGCCGCTCGCGGTCTCGGCTCCGCGGCACCGTCGGCACCCGTGTCCTGGACGACGCGGGCTCGGCGCCGGGGCCTCCTGGGGGCGCGCCGGGAGTCATGGCTGTGGATTCCGTCCGTGGTGGAGCGTCTTGAGCTGAGTTGTCCTGGCTTGCACCGCATCACAGAACTGAGCGGGAGTTCACGTATTCATCGTGTCACACGGGGGCGTGCCCGCAGCTGGTCGAGGCCTCCTCCGGCTCCTGTGACTTGCCTCCTTGCCATCGCCATCCTCACTGACTTTCGCGGCGCGGCCGTTGACAGCTAAGGGGGCAGGAACAGCGGTCGCCCTTGTCTTGCCGTGGGCGCCATGGGCTGTCACATGGGTAGGCCACCGTGCCGTTCCCCGACGACAAACGCCATCATCATCCATGTCCTGAATTTCGTGGGCTCGGTACTGGGGCCTACTAGGGGCGCGTCCGGAGTCATGAGTTGTGCAGTTGTGCACTGTGTCTGCTTCGGTTTTTGCGTTCGGCGAGGTGCTGGTCCTGGCTCCTGGGGCTCCTGTGACCTTCCTCCTTGTCATCACTATCCTCACTGACTTTCGCGGCGCGGTCGTTGCCGGCTAAGAGGGAAGTAACAGCGGTCTCCCCCCGTTGTTCTCGTGAGCGTCGCACGGCTAGGTAGGCCACCGAGTTGCATACCACGTAATCTCCTCCCTTGCTCGTCCTGCGTGCTTGTGCGATGCATCCCTGAACTTTCTATTATTACGATTGTGCAGTTGGTTTGCAGGGCGACATGGGATGGGCCTGCCTGCAGTTTACTATTTCAGGTACGTCATGATTTTGATGCTGGATATGTCGTGGCACGTGCTTCACGTCTCCGAGGGTACTTCGCACTGCGGGAAACCAGTCTGATGTAACGTTCCGGGTTGTTTTACCATTGCGTTGCGGACGTTGAAGCCGACAAATTAGCATTGGTGACTTACTACATTGACTGGTTCTGGATTTGACGTGAACTCTGGTTGCTTCTGTCCGAGACAAACATCGTGCCCAAGCTGCACAGCGCAAGTTGAAAAGATGGATGTGGGCAATACTTTCGCTTTGAAATTGAGCCCAGCTCTGCATCATATACTGGCCAGTGCTTATGAAAGCAAGGTTGCCTCAGAGCGACTACCTTTCAACGATCATGACCCGAGTCTCGGCCACGTTCGACACACGGTTTCGTGACGTCTATATTTCATGGCGCGCAGAGAGATAAATCGCACCGCGTTTGCCGACTGGCCTGTGTGGCGACATCCAGCTTCAATTGGCCGTGCGTTCGCACGAGCGGGGCCGGTACGTGGCTCGGCATGACACGCTTGAGCCCAGTCCGAAAGCGAGTGTTGGCAACTACGCCGCCCACGCTACTTCGCTCTATTGGGCGCCTTTCTCTTGACTGCTATGCTTGGTTGATCCGTATCCCTGGCGTCATACGGTGCCGACGACTGCGTGCAACCCAGGAGGCACCGGCTTTGGTCGGCCACGCGCAGAGGGGGGTGGGGGGAGAGGGGAGGGCTTCTTGGAAGCACCCCTGCTTCTTAGAAGGCGCGGGCCTTATCTATAGATGTAGGGCTGGCACCTTCTAAAAAGCAGCCTCCTTCTAAGAAGCCCTCCCCCTCCCTCCACCCCCTTGTTCGCGCCGCCAATGTGGAGTGGAGCAGAAACGAGACGCGCTTGCAGTGGTGATCCTGCCGCGCTTGTGGACGATCACGGCCTGCAGGATTGGGCGATCGCTCGTCGGCCTTTTGATATTCGTGCCGTTCCTACTACCCTCGTCAAAATTCACCTCAACAGTTGCTGGCACGTCATTTCGATGTCGGCGCGCCCCTCAATGTCGACACGCCGCCCCTTCAATGTCGGGGCGAGGGCAAAGATAGTCTGACCGAAGTTGACTCGAAAGTTTGACGTCGACCGATATTAAAGGGGTGGCGCATGCAAGTACCCCGCACTCCTCGATACTCGGCCCCAGATCTTCCGACAAGCAGTTCAACCACGTCAGGCATGTTTGAGGTCAATTTTGACGAGGGTTGTACAGTCGGGGCCCTGAAGAAGGAACCCTTTTCGTTTGGGAGGGGCTCCGCGTTCCTTAAGTGTTTCGCAGCTTGCCTTGGATTTTCCTCATGTTTTAGATACGAAATCGAAGTTCAACTTATGGAAAATAGGGGCCTCGTTCCTTATTTAGGGTTCCTTAGGTCAACGCCCCTTCTGTATGTCGCCCACAGTTTCCAGGGTGACGATCCTCCTGTGGTGGTGACTCTCTAGATGGTGCCGCGCACTGGGCTGCATTGGAGTTTCGATGACTGCGCTTCTCTTGCACATCCTTCTGCGGGCCGACTGCACAGTTCCACTCTCGCGCTTCGCGCCGTCGGCCGCCCTCTCGCTGTTGTGCGTGGGGCCGCCTGGGACTCGAGGGCTGTCCCCCCCCCCCCTCCTCTCCTTTCCTCCTTTCCCCCTCTCCCCCCCCCTTCTCTCCTGTCCCCCCCCCCCTCTCTCCTTTCCCCCCCTCGTTTCCTCTCTCCTGTCCCCATCCCCCTCCTGGGGCTCCCTTCGCTGCGGAGGGCGGCAGTAGCAACAGTGGTGCCGCCTTTGGTTCTCGCGGTGGGAGCCTTCAGCAAGACGGCGCGCAGACTACTGCAACGCCGAGTCCGACTGGCTGCCTTTTCCCCTCCCTCTTTTTCTCTTTCCTTCCTGGCTTTGGCCGCCTTCTTGGCAAGAGGCATTTCCGGGCCACGTTTCATCACCCCTGCCCAACACGTCCTTCCGCAACACCGTTGTCCTCTTCCTTTTTGCGTCAGGGTGGAACATAAAGCTGATTTAGCCGCTGTGGTGAACGCAGAGGGTGAAGGGAAGGCAGACAACGAAAGACAGTAGTGCAAGCCCCCCTGGGCGCTAGGGCGTGGAGCATGCGCTCACAAGGTCGAGAGGGTGATGGAGGTAGTCACGATATGCAAGATGCAGCACTGTGAAGGCAGAGTGCTGGGAGGATGGGGGGGTGAGGGTGGACGATCTACAGGCTGAGCGTGTGCGCGTGCGTGCGGCAGCCGGAAGAGTGAAGCTCTGTGCGGGCGGCGGCTGGTGGTCAAAACGGTATTCCCCGGCCGCTCACAGTTGGGGCCCAGTGGTAGGCCCCCCCTTCTTCTGGGGGCCAAGAATGGCAAGTCTTGTCCTCGATGCACGCACGCGCTTCTTGCGCTTCTTGTGGGGGGGGGGGGGTAATTTTGCGGGGGCGGGCGATCCCTGGTGCCCAACATGCCTGGGTGCCGTGGCTTCAGAAATCCACCTGATAGTAGAAACCGTGAGCAGACACACATAACACATAGCATGCGTGGAGTGCTGTTGCGTTGGGGTTGCGGGTGCAGTTGCGTGGCAGGTCGGCTGCAGGTGGGACAAGCTAGCAGCAGTGATACGCGGCAGTAAGGAGCAGGAGCTGGGTGGTGTGGCACGCTCGACCTGTGGGAAGCACCACTGTGCGCATCAGGCGAGGCAAAACGGAGCGGGGGGGGGATGCTGAGGAGAGGCACGGAGGGAGGGCGCAAACTGTGATAGCGGCAAGTGGCGATTGTCTCGTCACTGACTCGTTTCTGCCAGGAGGTATGCAAGTGTCAAGGTGTAGTGGTATTTTGCTCGTGTGATCTAGTATGTGCGGTCCTCCGCCTGGTCCTGCTCCTCTTCCTCCTCCGACTCTTCCTCCCTTTCCTCCTCCCCCCTCTCCCTCGTGAACGGCCATTTCTCTCGGGCAGGCGGGTCCCGAGTTGTGGGCGACAGATGTAGCAGCGGCATTGTCCCAGCGATCCGCGAGCCATCAGGAGCCAGGCGATGGCCTCCTCCCCCGGTGTCCAGCTCCCGTCCCCTCTTTCTTCGCCACCCTCGCCCCACCATTAAGAAGGCTCCGTGGGACTCAAGCGTGGCACCTTCACGTATGGGAGTTCACGCAGCGGGTCCCGCGTCATCGGCTACACAGCTGGGACGACCACGAGGCCCAAAGTTCCCTTCACCCCCAAGGGGACCAGGCCCCAGTGGAGGAGCGCCACAGAGCCGACGTCATCAGCCACACAGTTGGGATCGAAGCGAGAGAGAAAGTGGTGCGGCAGGTGCAGGCGATACAGGCCCGCAGAGATAAACGCCATCAGCTACTATGCTGGAGCAGGCGCAACAAACAAAGGCCAGCTTCGCTGGCGGAATTCAGCGAGATGAGGGAGGAATGTTGGAACCCGATATGATCAGCTACAGCACTGGGACCAGGGCGTGCGAGGAAGGCGAGCAGCGGGTGGCGGACGTGGCACCACTCTGCGAGAAGGCGGATGCGCAGCTGGAGCCCGAGCTTGTCAGCAACAACGCTGCGCACAGCGCGTGCGAGGAGGCAGGTCGTGTCGCTACTCAACAAGAGGCGAAAGGCGAACCTGGAGCCCGTCAGCTGCAGCGCTGGGGTCGGGGCGTGCGAGCAGGGCGAACAGCAGGCGGCTCCGACACTACTCTGTGAGAACTTGGAGTCGAAGCTGGAGCCCGATCTCGTAAACAGTGGCACTGCGCACACCATCGGCTGCAACGCCAGAGACGGGGCACAGGCCGTGCGGAAATGACAAGGCGTGCGGCCGTGGCAGCCGGATCGGAGGAAGGACGCGAGCCAACCACCATCAGCTACAGTGCAACCTGCGCGGTGCGACCAGCTCGTGTGTGTGTGTGTGGTGAGCACGGGCACGCACTGGGGAGCAGGCAGCGACAGCACTGGCGTGGCAGCGGCGGCGTGCCTCTCGATGCCCGAGTGTTTTTGGCATCGGGCGAGGCACGTCTCGGCTGCCGTGCAGGGCCGTGCGGGTACGTCTGCAGCTACAATCGTGTAAAGTCTGGCTCGGCCCTGTCTCTGCTAATCAAAGCTGTGCGCGTCCCGCTCAGCTTTCGGCGGGAGAGGTTCGCTCTCGCCCTGCAGATCAAAAAGTAAAGTCTGGCTCGAGGATGGCCCGGGCGTCGGTGCACGGACTCGTTCGTTCGGAGGGCCGCGGGCGGCCCGCTGAGATCGAGGGATGGGGCGGGCAGTGGCAGCGTTCGCCGCGGTGCTTTGGGGGGGGGGGCAGCTGGAGCCGACGCCATCAGCTACAAGGTCGTCTGTGAAATGGCTTGCTTTGGCCCCGACCAGCAGCCAGCCCTTTTAGGGGGTCCACGGGCTTGGCCGATTCGAGTTCGGCACGGGGTCGGCCCGTGCGGCGACCTTCGGCTGCGGGATGCTCGGGGCGCCTGCGTCTCCTGGTTGTTCCTTCGGCCGCGGCGCTTCCCAGGGAGACTCCCCCTCCTCAAAATCCGTCGCGCTCCTCGCGCCTCTCCTCTTACAGCAGCCTGCTCCTGGCGCTGCTCCCCTTCCCCCTCCCAGTCTCACCACCCACCAAACCACCCCAACCCAACCCGAAGGCCTCAATTTGCCCTCCATTTCCAGTGGGGGGGGGTCGGGAAACGTCGAACAAACACGCGTGGAACCCTTACCCCCCCAACCCGAAATTCGGGTCTTCGGGTTGGGTTGGGGTGGTCTGGTAGGTAGTCACAGTCGAGGGCGCGGCAGGAGGGAGGGGGCCTTGTCTGCTCTCCCGTCGAGCCAGGACTTGTCGTTGGAGGACATTATCTCCCTGGTCTTCCAGTTCCGAGGCAACAAGACCACCACTGTGAAGGACTGATGCTGCCACGCTTATATCGCGTGGAGAGGAGGAGGCGGAGGAGGAGGAGGAGGAGCAGGAGGAGGAGGAGGAGGGGGAGGAGGAGGAGGAGGAGGAGGAGGAGGAGGAGCAGGAGGAAGGATGAGGAGGAGGAGGAGGAGGAGGGGGAGGAAGAAGAAAAGAGGAGGGGGAGGAAGAAGAAAAGAAGGAGGAGGAGGAGGAGGAGGCGGAACAGCAGCAATCCCCCCCATCCCGTTCACCTCCCACCTTCCATGTCCAATCCCCTGCTCCACCCCTCCCCATCCACTTCCATTCCCCGCTCCCCCTCCAGTTCCCTCTCCACGCCCTTTTCCTTCCCCAGGTCTCCGCTATGGGCGCGAAGATGGGCGCGTTCCCCGCGTCACGGCCCCCTCCGCCCTTCGGCCCTCTCCGCCCCCTTTGTCTTGCGTCCACCCCCCCCCAGTCCTGGTTCTTCGTTCCCGATCCCTCTCTCGTGCACGCAGCTGGATGCGGACGCGCATGCATGTGTGTGTGAGTGTGTGAATGAGTGATTCAAGTGTCTTCAAAGACGACATCCCCGACACTGCCAACCCAGAAGAGAAGGCCCGGCTGCTGGCGGAAGCCGACCGCAGGCGAAAGGAGAAGGAAGTGATCAAGGCCCGTCAAGCTCAGCAGGCTGGCTTCTCGGCGCGCGCCGACCTGCCGCTCCCGGCCGACCACAGCTGGAAGGACTTGGAGGACGACGTCAATGGTGCGACTACTATACTGCCCAGCATTCGGACCCTGCATTCTATGGTGCCTCGGACTACATCCGCACCAGTACGGCGCCGCGGATCAGCCCACGGACCCCAGCCTGCAGGACCAGAAGGGATGGAGCATGAACGGGTACCTCTTCGTCTGCTCTACGCTGGTGGGACTGGACGCCGGCAACCTGGTGTACACGGCGGTCTTTGCGAGTATCATGTGGGCCGTAGGGCTCGGAGTCTCGAGCAACGACAACGCTCATGCAGTCGACCCCAACCTGATCCCACCCAGAAGGGACCGACCGAACATGCCGGCAGCGTGGCACGTTAAGGAGGCCCGTATTCCCACTAACGTCCCCAGACGCAGACCCAAATGCTGGCAGCCGTCCACCTGCAAGTGCCAACAGCACAAGGAGCCACCCACACCGCCGGTGTTCCAGGCTTTCTGCATGGACTCGAAAAGACGCTCGGCCACAGTCCTCCATAGCCTCCTGGACAGCACTGGCGCGACCCTGGGAGCCATCCAAGCCATGATCCTGCTCGCCTTGTCCCTGCTCGTACAACGCGAACCACGCACCTGCCTGCACCCGCACGGGGACGCCGAGGGCATCGGCGACGTGCTCGAAGCCATCCTCGGCTTGCGCGAGCCGCACCGCCCGCGCGACAGGAGTGCTCGTGACCAGCTAGGCGCACCGGTTCGGACTACAGGGGCGGCACTTCAGGGAGCTGCACTCGGCGCTGGAGCTCCTGATCACTGCAGTGTCCCGCCTGGTCATGGTTGCCCACCACCACCCCCTGGCCAGGCGTGCGAATTGCCCCGCAACCTGGAGGGGCCTCGAGGCTGGAAAGCTCCCACCCCAGGCCACCCTCGCAATCATCGAAGGCACCGTGTCTCCCGCCGACCTTTCGGCCCTGGCAAACCACGAGCGCGCCGCATGCGCACTCTACGTCGACGCGCTCGGGTCCGGCACCGGCCTCACCGACGACCCAACAAAGCAGGCAAGCAGCGTCACCCGGATAGGCGGAGGATATTCATTCACGCGCCTGCACCTGGACGCGCCCGCCCCGCTCGGGCCGCGCCCTGGAGTGGCGCTTAGGCCCCCATGGATAGACGACCGAGACACCAGGTGGACGAAGGAACAGAACAAGGCCGAGTTCTACTGCCAAGGGCGCCTCCGCGGCCCCTTCAAGCACGACAAAGGGGCGTACGTCAGCAAGCGGATCCGCCAAACCACTACGGTCAACAGGCGAACGGAGTACTACCAAGGAGGGGGCCTCACCTGGCTGTGCATCTGCCGCTGGACCACGAAGGCCATGGAAGAGCGCCGGCCCATTCCAGACGACGTTGACTTCAAGGACTGGATCAACGACCGCCCCGACGACATGCCAGCGCGCACAACGCGCGCCCTGCCGGGACTGTGCCCTACGTCGACACCTACGGCCTTCACGCCCCTGGAGCGGCTGCTGGCCCCGCTGGAAGGCGAGCTGAATCCGCTCGACGTCGGAACCACACTCCCAGCCAGCAACGCGAACGACGATCGCGTGATCCCCCACTTCCACAAGAAGGATTTCGGCATCTGGCGACGCGACGGCTGCCCGCCAGGCACAGAGGGGCGCAAATAGCAACCAGGACAGCCATTCCCTGGCATGCACGGACACGCCGCTGACCCAGAAGGTCTCCGCGCCGGTTTCAGCTTGGCCCACGGGCCCCCACCCGCACAGCTAATGAGGGAGATGTTCCTGACCAAGCGCTGGCACGCAGGCCGGTGCTGCAAGGAATGCCTGATCCACGAGTGGGACATGGCCCCGTCCCCAGACCTCCTGGCGTCGTAATTTTTTCATGACGCCCCTCTTGTAATGAATTTTCTGTGATGTCTTGATTTTTTGTTACACGTTTCAATGTCTTGATTTTGGCTCAATTGACAGCGCCTTGTCAGCCCTTGATAACCACTGAGAAGCCTTGACATCCACGGCACCCATGGATTCCCGTTGTGAACCTAATTGGCCGAGCGGATTTCGGGTGACCCGCGCAGTGGGCGGGTCACCCCCGCGCGCGGGTGACCATGGTCACCCGCGCGCGCGCGTAGGGAGTTCTGTATCGTCCACAACAGAGAAGTCGGCGCGTCCGTCGGCCTCCAATAAAGAGCCCCAGAAATTTTGAATTCAGTTTTTGGCATCACATGTCGACTTCTCCATTGTGGACAATACCGAACTCCAACGCCCGCGCGCGCGCGTAGGGAGTTCTGCATCGTCCACAACAGAGAAGTCGGCGCGTCCGTCGGCCTCCTCAAAGAGCCCCAGAAACTTTGAATTCAGTTTTTGGAATCACATGTTGACTTTTCCATTGTGGACAATACTGAACTCCAACGCGCGCGCGCGCGCGCGGGTGACCATGGTCACCAGCGCGCGCGTAGGGAGTTCTGTATCGTCCACAACAGAGAAGTCGGCGCGTCCGTCGGCCTCCTTAATGAACCCCAGAAATTTTGAATTCAGTTTTTGGGATCGCATGTAGACTTTTCCATTGTGGACAATACCGAACTCCAACGCGCGCGCGCGCAGGGAGTTCTGTATCGTTCACAACAGAGAAGTCGGCACGTCCGTCGGCCTCTTTACAGAGCCCCAGAAATTTTGATTTCAGTTTTTGGCATCACATGTCGACTTCTCCATTGTGGACAATGCAAGCAAAAATCCACGCTCTGCGCGCGCGTAGCGAGTTCTGTATCGTCCACAACAGAGAAGTCGGCGCGTCCGTCGGCCTCCTTAAAGAGCCCCAGAAATTTTGATTTCAGTTTTTGGGATCGCATGTAGACTTTTCCATTGTTGACAATACCGAACTCCAACGCGCGCGCGCGCGCGCGTAGGAAGGCGCGGGTGACCATTGTCCCCCGCGCGCCGTAGGAGTTCTTTATCTGTCCAAAACAGAGAAGTCCGGCGCGGTCCGTACAAAGCCTCCTTGAAAGAGCCCCAGAGGACCGATTTCAGTTTTTGGGATCGCATGTAGACTTTTCCATTGTGGGACAATACCAACTCCAAAACGCCGCGCGCGCGCGTAGCGAGTTCTGTATCGTCCACAACAGAGAAGTCGGCGCGTCCGTCGGCCTCCTTAAAGAGCCCCAGAAATTTTGATTTCAGTTTTTGGGATCGCATGTAGACTTTTCCATTGTTGACAATACCGAACTCCAACGCGCGCGCGCGTAGGGAGTTCGCCATTCGCGCATCCGTTGGCCTCCGTAAAGAGCCCAGAAATTTTGAATTCATTTTGGAATCACTGTTGACTTTCCATGTGGACATACCGGAACTCCAACCCGCGCGCGCGCGCGCGCGCGGGTGACCATGGTCACCAGCGCGCGCGTAGGGAGTTCTGGATCGTCCACAACAGAGAAGTCGGCGCGTCCGTCGGCCTCCTTAGCACCAGGAATTTTGAACTCAGTTTTCGGGATCGCATGTAGACTTTTCCATTGTGGACAATACCAAACTCCAACGCGCGCGCGTACGCGCGGGTGACCATGGTCACCCGTGCGCGCGTAGGGAGTTCTGTATCGTCCACAACAGAGAAGTCGGCGCGTCCGTCGGCCTCCTTAAAGAGCCCCAGAAATTTTAAATTCAGTTTTTGGGATCGCATGTGGACTTTTCCACACGTAGCGCGCGCGCGTTGGAGTTCGGTATTGTCCACAATGGAAAAGTCAACATGCGATCCCAAAAACTGAATTCAAAATTTCTGTGGCTCTTTAAGGAGGCCGACGGACGCGCCGACTTTTCTGTTGTGGACGATGCAGAACTACCTACGCGCGCGCGGGTGGCCATGGCCACCTGCGCGCCCGTTGGAGTTCTGTATTGTCAACAACCGAAGAGCCCTTAACGGTGACCGATTTGAGTTTGAAGTTAACATGCGATTTCTTGGAATTCCACAACCGAAAAGTCGCCATGTTGGCCAAGCGCGTGGAAATTTTGACCACGTGGCAATGCGCAACTACAAAAAGCTGCTCTTCCTCTTTTCACTTCCCCTCCTTCTTCCCCCCCCTCCTCCCTGGGGAGCGGCGCGGACAAGGAAGAGGGGGGGGAGGAGGAGGAGGAGGAAGGGGAGGAGGAGGACGACGACGAAAACGACGACGAGGACAAATGAAAAAGGAGGTCGAGGAGGAGGAGGAGGGGGAGGAGGAGGAGGAGGGGGAGCAGGGCGAGGAGGACGAGAGGAGGACGGGGACAAAGGAGAAGGGCGAGGGGGAAGCGGGAAGAGGAGGGGAGGGCGCGCGCGGCGCCGCGCGC